TAGAAATTCCATTGTATATTCGTGATTAATCGATGGACAAATTTAAACATTCATATAACGGAGTCAATAAATAGCAACGTACTTATTTTAATCTTCCGATACTGTCGACCTTCGATACCTTCTTTTACACGTCGAAGAAAAATGCAAGTAGAGACATCTTCGACCCTGCAGGTTTATAACTAACCTTATTTACATTTAGCTAAGGAAGTTTCCGTACATCTTGTACTCTCTACTTTAACAGGGTTTCATTTTTATTCAAAGATTTTGAAATTCGATTCAGTAATGAATGGAAAATTTAACATTTTCGAATACTATAATTGACAAGAATTATGGGGGTAAAGAAGAATATAAGAAAGAATCGGAGAAATCTGCATGAAATTGCAAATCATTGATCTGGTTCTGGTAACAAAACATTAAATGTATCATAATGAATATATCTGAAAATATACTTTCACTGTTCGTCGATAACTATTGTTTAGTGTAAGTTGAATAAATCATGTTAAAGAAATAATATTCACTTCAATAGATATAATTCATGAAGTAACAATCCATAACTTTAAAACTTGCTACAAAAATAATATAAAATGATTCTTCAACAAAATAAACATTAAAACAGATTCACTAACCCCAATAAATAAGGAGGAACAAATATGATCACTAGTGAATATGAATGCTTGACAGATAAACGAATGTTTGAAACAACATTCACTGACGAGACAATTGAAGCTAATCCAGTCATTAGTAATTGTACATGATCACTGTTACTTTCACATTCACGATAATATACAGGATATTTCAGTAATCATAGTGCAATCGGAAATGAGATGATTCTATGTCAAGAAAGAATTGATCATATACGACTGGACATCGGCGTAAGTAGAATTAGCCAATAATGGGCAGACGCGCCAAAAAAATAAAACATGCTATAAAATTTTATTCTACATTTTTCTCGTGATTATAAAATAATAATAATATATTTATTTTTAATCATTAATGTACTGATCATTGTTTTCATTGACTTTTTTTATTTCTCAATCACTATTTTGATTCCATCTTCTCAATATTAAGTGCTATCAGAAAGATCAGAAATCTCATTTCGAAATTTGGAAAACCACAGTTGACACTTTCTTATAATCAAAACACGTACCCATACACACAAACATTTTTAACTTTATCTTCGACTATATTGTCTTTTTCAAATTCATAGAGCACCGGATAGCCAAAAATGAATTTCGTCGAGATTTTTAAATATAAAATACTGATTTCGTTTCAGATTGATAAGAGCATACTTCTCAAAATACACAGGGGGAAATTTCAACATACGAACATTTATATAAACTATTATAAGAAACTACCAAATTTATATGACCTAATAGAATCACCGATTCCAAGATTGTAGCGCGATATCACCATAAACTGTCTCGAATATGTTACTGTACGGTCACCGAAAAAATCCCTACGGTCGGTCGAGACAACCCTTCGCCTTAAGCAGCTCTCAGACGCGCGACGCAGAAGACGTAGGAATCTAAAACGAGTAAGCGGGTCCAGAGAACAATCGCTAGGTACGTATTTACACGCGGCGACGCGCGCCCTTAACACGAGGGTAGAGCCCCTGCGCGCGAGTAAAGGTCCTTTTTATGCGTGCGGTCGCAAAGGCAGCGTAAAATTGAGTTACAGGGCAGTTTATTTTTTTATTAGCCAGGCCAACCCTGCCTGCCGCGCGGTTTCAACGCGGAAAGGGTGGTGTTTGCGGCCGACGGATTTCCCGATAGCGGTTTTATGGCGTGTCAACACGCTCTTACGCGGCGCTGTGCCCCCGCGCACGCGTCGAGCAGAAGAGAAAAAACCATACGGAAGAAGCAGAAAGAAACATGAAAAAGGGGCACGCGGCTCACGCGAACCGCTCGCTAAATCGAAAGGATCGAGGAGCCAGCGGCGCGAACGGCCGAGGCGAACGAGCCGACGATTAAAACTATACCTCGAGACCAGGGTCCGGCACGCCTGTACCGCCGTCACGCTTGTAAGTATGCGATTAATCGTGCCCACTTATCACGGGGCTGCGTTTATTCGGCGAGATTTCCGCGATGGTGGATTAACTCTGCCTATCGGACGCCGGAGATCTTTTAACGATCGAGCGCTAGCCGAGATTGACAGTTTCACGGTGAAATTGCTTGAAAATAAATCTCACCGGTGGCTAAACAATGGCTTTGTTCCTTGGAACTTTTTAGGAAACGACGACCACTCTGTGGCATTTGAGAATACACAGCTATGTACAAGTCGAATTATTAAATTTAAATTAGTTTCCGTTCATTCAGATTAATAAGAATATCCTACAACCGGTGGTGAAAGATTTTAATAGGAATTAAAAATATAGAATAAAGTTTTTTTCGTGCAAGCTTTTGTTTTCGAAATAATTGTTACTGAAAATTTATTAGGCTCGATCGAGTATCACTTCTGTTGCGTAATTTCATGTTACTTCTACTTACGTTGGGTGTTTCTAGATGTTGGTGCAATACTATTTGTTTCCACTTGGAAAACAAGTTTGAAAGAAAATAAATAGTATCGTATCATATTAGAAACACCGAAACGAGTAGAAATAGAGAGTAATGGGTAGCCACAATAGCCAAGTCAGCAAAACAATTTTCTTGAAAATAAAGTATCGTATGAAACAATGTTATTCTATAATTTCGATTGACTTTTTCATGTAGAATTATTATATTATGTTGTGCAACATATGTTACGCATTATTATAACTTCAAAATCTGTTATTTGATCTATTTTATCATCACATAAATGCTACATATGTAAACAACTTGGAATAATTAAATATACATGCGGCACAAAAACCAATAAACGTTGAATTGTTGGTAAAATTCAAAACTCAGAATTTGTGCCTCACGTCATAGAAAGTTTAATTTGCCTTTGAATAAACACTATTTATATAATTTCGATACTATTCCATGTAAACAAATCAACAAATAAAATGACGAAAATAACAAACAAGCTTGCATTATTACTATGTTTTCAAACTCATACGACTCCCATAATTAATGATTTTATATTCCATTCAGCAATTATACAGATGTTATCAACGTGTCCTTAAAAGAATTGTAAATAGATTAATTTTTTTTAAATTAATTTCTTCAGATACTAAACTGGTTATATCGGTACTAATATTCCTAGTTAAACTTCGACGAGTTCAAACTCTCTGGATACACTTCAGAAAATACTTTCAACACTAGACTAACGGTAACACGTCAATTTGACAGGCTACAGATTCTATACTTACACTTAAAGAACTCATAATATCGTCTGTTAGCAATTTACATTAAATTTGATTAACCCAATATAAATGTACATCCCAATCGAAAAGAAAATCACGTTTTAACGAAATTGTTAACACGACGGGTTCGGATAAAAATACGCGGCAATCAATGACCGTAAATCCAGCGTTAAATGCTGCTCACTGTTCGAAGATTATCGGGGAGGACCGTTCGAAATTCTCTCTCTGCGCCTATCCGCGCCAATTCGCTTCAGGAATGTTCATCTCCGCAGGTTCAGCCAGAGAAAACGCTAAGGGGATAATGAGGACAGGCAGCAGAGCCGCACGGTGGTAATAAGGTAGCGTGGTGTGGCTGGGATGCTAGTCACGTTTCTAGCTGCTGACAGCTGCGGCTTATACGTATGACGTGGTATCAACCCCAAATTTCCCCGCCTAGGCACATCGTGTCATCGCTGCCCTAAGACCCCGGAATGCACTCGAACTCCCACCTGTCACGCCGCGCAATACCTTGCCTCCCGGCGTATAAGGATGTTTTCTGATCTCTTATTACAGGAGTCATCCCCAGATCCTCGGGGTGTCCCAACCTCCTCTTTATACAAGATATTAGCCAAAATAATCGGTCCTATCCCCTGCACGTGATTACACATAATGAAATGTCCCTTCAGGATTCTTATTATCCTTCATATAAAAAATTATCTCTAGTTATAGTTGAGCTGTAATTAAATATATTAAAAATGATCATCAAGAATTCGTATAAGATCTACAGAGTGCCCTATTTTCGTGTTTATACAAGATATTAACCAAAATAAATAATGGTCCCTTCAGAATTATTATTATCCTTCGTATAAAAAGTATCTGTAGTTATAGTTGAATTGTAATTAAATATATTAAAAATGAACAACTAGGTAATATAGTCTATCAAAATTAGTTACCTCAAGAAAAATGTAATTACTGTTATATTTGCATTTCATGTGCAAGTCGAGGATGACGGTTTGATTATAGAAGAAAGAGGAAAGGTTACCAAATAATGGCCTAGAAATCGTTCGCAGCCCTCGCGACACAGAGCCACGAAGTGCACGTGCTCGAACGCTTCCGATAGTTGCAAGTTTCCCCGTGTCACGAGTCTTTACAATCATCGCGACGTTCCACGATCGAGCGAATAGTTTCGGAGCCGCGTCAAAGACGAAGACAAAGTGGCTGTAGCGGAGGATATGGAGAATAACTTTACTTTGAGAGACCTTGATTTCACCATTTGAGTCATCGCCCCTCGCTTCGTAATTATTGATTTTCCGCGCTACCCTAACTGCCCTAACTTCATAGAGAAAGTAAGAGAGAGCTCGCGCCAGAAAGAGATACATACACAGAAGAGCACGCGGGAGAGTCGAAAATGCCTTTTGTCCCCCTTTCGCAGGGGATAACACAAGGACGGTAACCCTACCACCACGAACGTCAGTCTTATCAATGATTTCACAAATTTCTTAAGCGCCAACGTGTATTTGCATCCTTGTCGGAACCAACGAGGCCTCGAATTCGAACGACGCGACTCGAAGCACCGTGCTCGCCGTCGTTGAAGTCTCGACGGAACACGCGAGTTAAAAATCGACTAGGGTCTCTCTGGTGTTCCCTCTCGAATCCTTTCGAAGGGCAAGGATCCCTTCGCGATAGTTTAAATTCCAGAACCGTCATGACTCGCACGATAAGACATTGGAATTCTCACCTCTGTTGAGACTGGACGGAGACATGGACATTCCTGGCCTGCTCCCGTCGAAGGTCCCCGACCTCTCTGGCATTTTCATGACATTCTCTTGTTGACCTGTTCCACTTCCGGATGACACGTCGCCGCCGGTCGCGGGACTGGACGTGGTCGTGCTGGTCGAGACGGCGGTAATGGTGATGCTAGCCACATTGTTACCGTTTCCGTTACCGGTCGGATTACCGTTGTTGCTCGCGTTACCACCACTGTTGCTGTTCGTCGTTTTGCTCGTTACGTTGCTGTTACAGCTGCCACCGTTACCGTTACCGTTGTTCCCGGTGGTCGAGCCACCGTTCGCGGTGCTACAACTGCTCACGGCCGTCACACTGACCACCCCCTCCCTGGCTATGTCCTGGAGGGCACTAGCGGCACGCGAGCCAACCCCGGCCGGCTGTAGGATCGTGTACTGTTTCGACGAGTCGGGGCTCGTGACCGCTGGCAGACCACTGGTCGGGCTTTTACTGCTGGTCACCGGATTCGACGTGACCTCGTGCCTGGTCACGTGGTGGGTATCCTCTTTCGATGATTTCAACTGAAGCAGTGAGACTGTGGAGGAATGTTTGTCCTCCGGCGTGGGCGCGATCCCGGTAACAGGTTGAGGGGTGGGCATCGTTGGTCCTGGACCAGGTGTCGGGTAACCAACGAACGTGGCGGATGCTGGATACGGTCCGATAGGTGGAATCGCCGCGGATGGCACGGCCACTGACGGCGTGCCTCGACCAGTCGCCTTCGCGTGGTCCGTGTTGGGCGGTCTGAACGCCGACGTCGCGGAGAACGGAGAATTCGACGGCGGCGTTGAACCAGAAGACGTCGTGGCGGTCGCCAGAGCCTTCATACTGTTTTCACTGTACTGTCTATGGTAGTTCGCGTAAAGCTGATGTTGCTGCTGTTGCTGGTGTCTGGCAGCGTTCTGGGGCGATTGTCCGTTCCTGCACCCGCGATCCCTGTCCCTGTCGTTCATTTTCTCCCTGTCGACGTCGTCTTTGTCCGTGGTCGGGTCCGACATGTCGATCTCGAGCTCGTTCGACGAGTCATCTACCAGCTCGTTGAAGTCCGGCGGATCGTATCTGGAATATTTGTCCGTCTGTCGACCTTGAGGGTCCACGTGCGCACCGACCATGTTTCTGTCATTTCTCTCCTTGCTCGACAACGATCTCACGGGCACCGGTCTGATTTTACCCGGCTCGTTCGGGTTCACGTTGTTCACTTGACTCTGAACGCCGATACTCTCGTGTTCCGCTTTCAGAAAATGGTCCAGATCCTTTTTAACTTTCGCGGGGTGCTGTTGCTGCTTGGTCGCTTCCAGTCTCAGCTGTTGCTGCGATTTACTTCTGTCTTGCTGTCCGCGGAATGTTATCACATCCTTCAACGAGCAACCAGCCTCGTTGCTGGTGGTCGACGAGTTCGACACCGACGACGGCGAGAGTTTCGGGTTTTCCTTCTTTTCTTCGAAAAGATTCTCGAAATTCGATTCGTACTTGTCCTCGTCGGAGTTGCCTCTCTGATAGAGGGATCCTCTGGGGCCTGGCCAGCTCCCGGACAAACTTTTCAACGCAGCCTCGGTCTCCCTGATAAGAGTCTCGTCGTCCTCAGGCTCTTCCGAGTGCTTGCTGGACTTTCTTGCGGGGCTGCCGCAGTTGCCAGCGGCGAACGCTCGTTTCTTTTGCGGCAACGGTATGGTCTTGCCGAGATCGTTGGCGTCCAGCGACTTTCGCGTCTCGTCGTCCCGTACGCTTTTCCTCCTTCGCTTGGCAGCAGCATCAGCTGTCTCCATTTCTTGAGTAATGACCGGTTGTGCGCCCTTCTTGTTGATCAACGGTAGCTGTTGCTGAAACGGCTGCTGTTGCTGTAGCTGCTGCGGTTGCTTAGGATTCGGGTTGACGGACTCTGCTTCCAGCTTCCGTTTTTTGAGATGAGCCATCGCATTCTGGCCACCCGGCACGCTGGTCAGTTCCACCCTGGAACACAAAAATTCCAGAGGATCAGGAAATCTGCTCTCTCGTCGGATGCATGGATGCAGTGTGAGTTTTTTTTGATTTATGAGTGCAAGGTCGTCGGCTCAAGGTCGCCGCGATTCCAACAGACTTTTTTTTTTTGTTCACACCCGTCTTCTCGATTTACTTAACCCGTGCTCTATCGAAAGCCTAAAGGATCGTCTCTCGAGAAATTTCACCTGAAAGCTGTCGGCGGCCGTCGAGGGCCATCGCCCCGGATCTTAGGACCCGTTCCATCCAGTCGCAACGTTCCAATCTCCAGATGAACAACTGCCAGCGTTTCCTCCGATCGAACCACACCGCGTCGTGAGACTCTCTCCTGGAACGGACCCGACAAAAATTTCTCGGAAACCACGCACGCGCGTGCGTGTTTACGCACCAGTCACGCGTGTTCCCCGTAGCCACCGTGTATACGTACGAACGGGGCCTTTGCGTAGCACAAGTGCGCGGTGAGCCCTTCCAGACGAGGTGCTCGCGAGCTACTGTGCTATGTTTAAGTTCGTTCGGGGGTGGCGATCTTCCGGAGCCCACGGAGGGGATGAAGGCTTGCGCGGGCAACCGGCAGCTTCTGCTTCGCCGCGAAAAGTGGGGGCGGGTTCTGCGCACTGTCCACCCCTTTCAGCTTAGCTGGAACGCGATTCCCGGCCTCTCAGCACGTCCCCTTACTCGCCTCACCACCCCCTGCGATAGCAGAGAATGGAACACGACCCCTGGATGCACACCGAGCCGTCCAGTGTGTTGGGATACGTGCGCCGTACACCTCCGGTCGCTTATATTCGCCCACATCTTAACTTCCACCGCCCCGTTTCGCCTCGACCTACGTGTACCTGTGCTACCTGGTTCTCCTCGCTGCCTTAAGAGTCCCGACAACACTGATTCCCGGCCAGAGACCTTTTTTTTCTCCTCTCCTTTTCGAATTCCGCCCGGAGCTTCGTGCAACGAGCAACGTCAAATTAAATTAGATTTAATAACGAAAACCCCCAACGATCGTTGCTCTCTTTTCTTTTCATTACGCTGATGTAACGTTCAGCGAGAACGCCGAGGTTCTCGAACGTTATATTAAACTAAAAAACACGTCGGTGGAAATACGTTGTCTTGCTAGGTTTTCTCTATGCTATAATGCGTAATTTTTATACAGAGCGACTATCTCGAACGATTACCTAGAAAATGTACGTTCAAGATAACATCTTATTTGCACCACCTAGAGTGCCACATTTTCACGATGGTTATCTGTTAATATTATACAGTACATCGCGTTTCGTACTTGGAAATATAAATAAACTCGTTCCAACAGTTTCATGTTTCCGTTGCCTTCGCTATGCACGAAAGGTCTCGAAACTACGCAAATTCTTGAGGCATACGAGAAATTAATACACACTCGAATGTTTGACGTTACGACGTTAAATTTCAATTATCTTTGAACGACGGTTTATCCATTTGATACGTAACGTAACTTTGGCTTCTTTCTGGAAACGATTGTAACCATATTTTCAATCGTCATCCCCCCCTCTCCACGGTTTGTTCGTACGGTTTAGAGCGATAGCGAGAACCTACAACTCGAATTAGATAAACCCAGGTTCCAAGAGGTGGTACAGGAAGAAGAAGAAGAGCAGGATCAGCGTCAGCGCTTAGCGGAGCTTCCAAGGATCTCGGGAGTGAGAGGGCTTTCCTTAAACCCTAAACCCTCCTCAGACCGCGGGAGCTCGGAGTTTAGAGCAACGAACTCATAGAAAGGACTGCCGGGAAGAGAATGTGCCCCCGAACTAAAATCGGAAGTTAAATCGCACCGACGGCTTAAGACATTATCACTTTTCTTCACTGGCCAATGCTCGTCGGTCCAGCCCGGGGTAGTCGAGAGTTCGAGAACGAGAGAAAGAGAGGAGCGGACAGTGTCGGAGCAAGGAACAGCTTGGAATCCCTTCCAGTTAGGGATCAATGCTTCCTCGTCCACCCTCCAATTACGTGTCATCCCTTATGGCCTGTGGGGAATAATTAGAAAGCAGCCCTTCTCTTGCCCCGAGTGCCTGCGTTCGTCGACGGTATCGCGAAAAGATTAGTTTCGTTTTCGTACCGAATGTGTCGCGTACGCGGTTAAAGTCTCCGACTGCACCAGCGTTCGCTGCTTTAGAATTTTATTTCGTCGCAATCAGGAAGGAAGAAAAGACGTCGACGAAGCATGGAGATTCTGTTTACGTAATATCGATAGATTTTTTAATAGAAACATGGAACGCGAATATTACCGAGTATTTTGATCCGACCGGATGTACTTGCTATTCAGCCTGCGCCGACAGATAACAGTCCACCCTCTCAACAGACATGAAGATCTCGACACCTCAAAATCCGTACTCGTCAATTAATTAGCAAGTGCCGTTCGTAGCGGAGGAGATGGTTACCCAGGAACACGAGGCTGCATTGCGGACGATGGTGCCTCCTCTGAAGGGATTAGAGTATTAGGCGACGTCACGTCACTAGAGTCTAAAGCAGCCTCCTTGGGACTGTGCTCTTAGAGATAGCCCAAACTTACACACCCCCCGCCTTACCGATGGTTCTTTAGGTACCCCCCTTCGCGCTCTCTTCCCCCGTTATCTCGCCCAGATCCCTCTCTCTCCCTCTGTTATCATCTTTCCTCGTTGCTTCTGGATGTCCCTGGCGTCCTTCTTCCGAGCCCTCGACAATTCCAATTAGATAAACCACCGCCGGATCACGGCACTCTTAGCGGTCGTATTGGAGGTTAAGTCTCTGTCTTCGGATTTCTACCGAAATAACTGCACTCCGTGAAATATTGGCATCGATATCGGCTGATGAACATCAACTGTCCATGCAACAAACGATTTCTGCTACGAGTAAACTCTATATTAGTTCGAACGTCTCTTTATTTTGGTTCCCTTCTTCTTCTTGTGTGTCTATAGTTATCACTAGCAAGGAGTAAAATAATAATAGGTTTACTCAGACTGCTAAAAAATGAAAATTCTGTTCCAAAAGCAATTATTAAATGGTCTCTTTTATAACATAAATTTAAAATGAACGTAGATTGGCAGGGGATGCAATAGGGCAAAATTTACTTTAATATAGCTAATTAATACCAAGTATAGATAACGTACAGTTTCTGGAAACTGTTTTAAACGAATCGGAATCATTTTCTTCGCTCCTATTTCGACCGAATACCCTACAAGGGTGTTCTCGCGAAAGGAACTCGTACATCTTTTTCTCGCCGACATTCAAGGGGTGGGAGAAGTCGACGCTAGGCGAACGCCGGATAATTTAGGGGTCTCTCACGCGTGGATAATGGGGAACTTGGCTAATGCACCCCACTTGGCACCACGTGGATTCGCGTGAGTTTTGTGGCTCAGACTCTTCCTGTTACCCTTGGCTTTCTTAGACTGAATGAAAGCACACCAAGGGTGCAGAACAATTTCAAACGCTCCGCCAGAGTTCGAAGTCACGAAACCCTAGCGATAAAAACCAACGTTTCCCACAGAGGAAATTGCCTCCTACGACTCGATCACGACAATTTTAATTTTTTAATTCTTCCATACTGCATACTAATTTTATCATTCCTTCCAAGACACGAATATATTTAATATTTGTCCTCGGCTAAAATAATATTTACTTTATAAGCAAAATTAACACTAATTTCTAAAGAAATTCTTCGATCTCGACAACGAGTAAACACAATGTGTGCACGAACTTAAAAATCCGAATTATTAAGATTCCAAATTAGACGGACCCCTCGAACCTGAGCGATCGTTGGAGTCGATTACGGAATTCTGGAGCGTTAATTATAATCGCCAGAAAATTCCGAAGGCTGAAATCGGGAATCAGAATGCCGAGGACTCTTATTTAACGAACCGAGAATAGTGGAGCCATTGTCTGACCATCGACGGTGGCATTCTACTGAACATGATTCCTGTCCGAGAAACCTAACGAATTGGCTTTATTTCCAAGGGGATTCTGCGATTCTGCCTCTATTCTCCGTCGAGCCGCTTTCATGGCAGGGGCCGAGGGAAGATTTTAAAGCGTACTCGTGTCGTGGCATTAGTGCGAGCGGAGGACGGACGGCTGCGACTGGGACAGCTGCCCCCGTCGGACATCGCTTCGACTCCCGGCTCCGGGGAATACCTCGTCCCTTTACTAACTATCCGCCCTTACGTCAACCACTTCGCTCTCCGACCGTTTCTTTTCCTCTTGCTTTTTCGACCCGCTCGGAGACTGACGTCTTAAACCAATCGAATTCCGATCAAATATTTAACGCTGCCGGGACCGACGCTTTAAGTGGCTCTTCCATCGCTGGACCCTGTTTTTCAGCGAGAAACACCTTACGTCGTTGTCCTGTTCCATCGAGTTTCCCTGTTCTACGCCGCTCTAAGTAGGAAATATGGTCCCTTATTTTTTCAAGTTTTAAGTGTTCCTACGGCAGCTAACGCGATTCCAATGACTCCTGCCCGATACTTTGCGAGGAGGCCAGGGAAGACGAAAAGGGGTGCGTCTGTCAGAAATTGTCCGACTCGAGGGAAATATTTTCAATTCTTTTACTAACATCCGCGCACATTCAGGCTGGTTTCTACGACAAATAGTATTCCTCACGAAAGAAAGAGTACATTTAGTTTTAAATATTGACAAATCGATGTAGTTTAAAGTGTTAAGTTGATTGACAAGTTTGCTGATTTTTCTGGAGAAAATGGACAGGTGTTACTGCTTTTATATCGACGTGTCTCAACAAATAATAAATATATTTAGCATTTGTTTCTTAAACTAATTGAATCCCAATAAAATAGTTTAAAGTATTGGGTTGATTGACAAGTTTGCTGATGTTTCTGGAGAAGATGAACACAGGTGTTGCTGCTTTTATATCGACGTGTCTCAACAAATAATAAATATATTTAGCATTTGTTTTTTTTCATTTTTAAAAAATTTGTGAAACTACCAAACTTGACTCGTCACAAAAAACGAAACTACAATTCTAT